AAACAATTCCGAAAAACACTCCAAAAGCCACCTACTACTTCCAATAGTACATTCAAGAGTAAGTCTGCAAAACCCACTAGATGAGTTAGAATTGATAAGGGGCAAAAAACTTGTTGTCAATAAAACTTATGTCAACCAAGATTTGTTGTATCAAACAGTGGCGGGCTTCTAAGAGGCTACACATAGTGCTCTAGAGTAATAATTGGAACTAGCAAGAAGGCAACACACACCTCTCACAATAAATACACTAAACAATCAAACGAAAGCTGATCTATGAACTTTGAGCTCAATTTACATTAGACACTCTTATTGTTACTCTTATCATCACCCTCACTACCTCCAGCTCCTAAAAAACATCTGTGATCTTCGAATAAAAGTAATATAGAAAAAAGAAATAGATGAAGTTAGAACCTTTCACTATAATACTTTTAACTGTTACTGTTACTTCCTTCCACCCAGCAAACGCAAATTCGGAAAGTAATAAACAATTCGAAATTGATCAAGTGCACATGCTAATGTTTTTTTAATACAGTGCAAAGCTAAAAATACAAGTAAACAAAAATAAAAGAACAGAGAGCCAGACTATACAGTAAAACTATAAAATCTTTAAATTTTTCCTATGCTTTGATTTCTAAATTTCTGACTTGTTTACTGCTACATTCCAAGCTGCTTAAGACCAATAAAAATTCGATGCGAGAAATCAGAAAAAAGCAAAACCAACTGAACGTTTACCACCAGAAGAAAATAAGGCAAAAGAAAAAACTAGCAAAAAAAAAAAAATTGTCAATTCTAATCATCGCTGCACACAGTATCGTAAAACGATCATTTGGAACTAACACACTTTTTTCAGTATATGAAATTACAGTAAACTATCAACATTGATTCAGGGTAAAATGTACAGCATTTTGACAATTCAAAAATTGGAAAGTTGTAGCAGCACTATTTGTCTGCTATATAGCTGTATTTCACAACAACTTCACCTTTCTATAACTAACCCCATCACACCTCCAATCGTTTTCTCCTATCCCGTCGTTTCCAATCTTCTGCTAAGTGCATACGCGTTAGCACTGAATGATAAACTGAATGTGAAATTGGTTGGATTGAAAAAAAAAAAAAGATTATATATATATATATATATATATATATAATATTATATATA